GGCAGAAGGGGAGGAGGAGGAGGAGGAGGAGGAGGAGGAGGAGGAGGAGGAGGAGGAGGAGAAGGGAGAAGAGGAGGATTGGGAGAGTCATGAAACATGGAAGGAGGAGACTACTTGGTGGCCCCCAGGAGGGCCTCTCGGGGATTAGCTTCGCCTTGTTGGGCTGCGTGTGACCCTCGTCGCCACGGCTGGATTTGCCTCCAAATCGTGGTCAGAACGCGCTCCAGTGGCTGGGAGACGTCACTTTGGCCTGGGGCAGTGGGGTAATTACTGAGCTGGGCCGAGGAGCAACTGGTAGGGGCCAGGGGCAGTTCCTGTGAGGAGAGTGAGAGCCCTTTCGGTGGAAGCGCTATCTTCTTGTTGCAAGGACGGATATGACATTCGTGTGAGACGTGGTGGCTGTAGGATACTTGGCCTGCAAGGTTCGCCAGCCGTTGGGTTGGTGTGGCTTTATCGCGCTGTGCTTGGTTCGTCCATGCTGCTTGCAGTGTACGGTGTGCGCGTTGTCTTCCAGGTCTCCCAATCGTTCCAAGCGTCTCCATCCATTTCCGACCCAACGTACCCAGTCACTTGGCACTGTGCGGTCAGCGTTTGCACGCCAGAAGGGCGCTACTTGAATCCATACGCGCAGTGGAGCATGTGCACTCTCACCCTGCGCACGCGAGAAAAAGAGAGAAAGAGAGAGAGAGAGAGCAAGCAAGCAAGCAGAAACTACAAACACGCTGCGGATGGCTATCACATGGTGCTGTTGAGGAGTGACTGGGCAGCCATTGCCTATGGCCTGTACGGCGACGAGCACCGCGATCTCCTGGAACGCGGTGGACGCCTGCCTTAGACGTAGGTCGCTGCAGGTGACACGCGCATAGTGCTGCGTTGGGGCCTGCGGTTGGAGCAGACACAGGTCGTGGGCAGTCCTGCGTCCTAGCTGCTCCTAGCTCCACTTAGAGACATTTCCTACATGCTGATCACAGCAGGTGGCCACCTGATCAGGCTGTGCAACAGCGATGACACGGCCATGGCATGCGGCTGGAATGCAGCTGGGCAGTGCGGTCCACCCTCCCTCCGAGACCCGATGGAGTGGAAGCCCATGCCAAGAAACGCCCTGCTCGCCTCCAGGGTGCCCTGGGTTTCTTGCGTGTCGATGACTTTGCTATGGACAGCGTGACGTTCCCGCACCGCAAATCGATGGACGACCTGGGGTCTCAGGGTTGGGTTTCTTGTGGGAGGTTTCTTGTGGTCGAGCTCCTGCTGGCTGCTGCTGCGGCCCTCCCACATCTCAGACACACGGCGTACCCCCCGCCGCCAGAGCGCAGCTGACGGCGTCTCGGCGGGCGCCCCCCCCGACGGGGCTCCGGCACGGCCCCTCGCGGCCCCAGGGGCTGAGGGATGCCAGGGCACCTCCCTTCACCGAGCGCGTTCCACGATTCGCAAAGTGCCTACCCGCAAACGTCCGAGAAACACATGGTCGCAGCTCTGTAATGGACCGTAAAACCTCCGCGGCGGATCCAGGCCACTTGCGAGCAGCTAATTTGCGAGTAGTGGAACGCGCCTGTCCATCCCTGGGCAGCCCGAGGGTAGGGCACCTGCAAGCACGCTTCCCTAGGCAGCCCGAAGGTAACTGTCAGGACGCCATCTGTAGGGGAACGAGCAATGACATAAACATAACAACTCGGAGGTCCGCCCGGATTTCTCGAATCCGCGCTTGACCCCCGCATCAGTCTTGCTTGCCCGCGCGCACGCGCCTCCAGCTGTCGAAGATTGGCGCGGAGCACCCCTTCGCAAAGCGCCTCTGGAGTGAAAGCTGCCAGGGGGCACTCCTCCTCCTCCGCCTCCTCCTCCTCCTCCTCCTCCTCCTCCGTAGCCATTCTGGCTCAAGATGCAGGTTTCCCCTGGGAACCAAGCGGATACCGCTAGACCGCGGCTGGCAAGACTTCTTGAAGTCTGGCATCGTCCCCTGTCCACCTTCCTCGCGCTCGGGTCGGTGGGTAAACGGAGGCCTTTCCCGTACTTGTCGGCCCGATCGCATCCAGCTGCAGAGCCATGCCTGGTGCAGGGAGCCCCGAGAAGCATCGCCTGGACTCGGAGGGCTCCCCCAGCTGCAGCGGCCGCTCGACTTCAAGGACACGCTCTTCCAAGTCCCACTCGAGGGCGTCCGAGCGCCGCAAGGCGCCCCCAGCGGACCGTGGACGGCTGGTGCGCCCTGGTGCTGCTGCGCCTCCTGCTGGCCACGCTGGTCCTCCTTGCCGTCGGGGAAAGGGCGACAGGAAGACCTCCAACGAGGAGAGATGGCGCCAGCGGGCAGCTGATGCGGCCCTCGAGATGCAGAGAGACGGTATTGACCTCGACATGCTGGCCACGTTCCCCTCGCAGGGCGCTGGTGATGCTGGAGTCGGGGAAGCTGCCGCCAGGGACGCTGGCGCTGGAGCCAGGGACGCTACCTGCCCTGACGCTGGCGTTGGCGGTGACCCGTGGAGGACCTACGTGGGCAACGGCGGGGCCCCCTCGGGCCACGCGGCGGCACTGGGACCCAGCCGTGGCCACCCTCCCGCCCATGCTGCTCCTCAGCGTGACCTGCGGCATGGGGCAGCTCCTGCGGCCTCTCCTGCGGCGACGGCGTCTGGCGATGCTGGCGGCGTTGCGGATGTTGTCACGCCCAACTCCGCCCAGGCCGCCCTCCTCCAGCAAGCGCAGGCCGCCATCACCTCCGCTGTCACGTCCGCGGTCGTCGCCAGCGTCGACGCCACCCTCACGGCGGGCCTGGCGCAGATACAGGGAGTCATGGAATCGCGTGTCGGCGTCGTCGAAGGGCGCCTTCATGGGGTTGAGCAGAAGCAGATCGACATCGAGAGGCAGCTGCGGGCGGACATCGCGCAGCTCCGCGAGCAGATGGGCGTCCTGGCGAGAGTGGAGCCCTGTGCTGCCCCTGCTGGCCCTGACTGGGATCGTCCTCCAGACCTATCTGCGGTGGTTGCACGGTGCAAGGAGGAGCTCCCCGCGGCGACCTTCAAGCAGGTCATCGACCCCCTCCTCGCGGACGCTGGCATGGGTCCTGACTCGTTCGTGGTGGAGGCGGAGCCCCTCGGCAAGCGCTGCGTCTTCCGCTTCAAGGGGCCCCCCGAGCTCGGGGCCAGACGTGCTGCTAAGGTGCTGGGGTGTATGCGCCTTGGCCGTGGTGAGTGGCGCAAGCCGCGCGCCACGACGCCTGCTGGCCACGATGTGGACGTCTTCGTGGCGCCCGACCAGAACCGCAAGCAGGTCATGCACGAGCTCACGCTCAAGAAGCTCGCCATCGCGCTGGGGTGTGTCATCGGCGACGGGCACCGCATCTTCATCGATAAACAGAAGTCCTCCCTCTCGTCCCAGTGGAAGGCCTTCCTCCGCCTCACCATCGACGGCCCCAACTCCACCCCAGCGGTGGCCTGGTCCCCGTCTGCGCCCACGGCGCTCGGGCTGCGACGTGAGGACCTGGCACCGACGGTCGAGGCGGCTTTGGCTCTTGGTGATGATGATTGGTGTTTTTAGCACGTTCGTCAAGCTCTTTGCCGCCCCGATGAGCAAGGGGCTCACCTTCGCCACCTGGAATGCAAGAGCACTCTGTCACCACGAGGCGAACGTGGCGGCACGCAAGAGCAACTACCTAGGGAATGCACTCCGAGCAGGGGCTACCGTTGGCATGCAGGAGGTCCACGGGTCACGACCTCTCCCGCGAACAGGTTCGGCGTGTCGCTGGCGAGATCCAGGCCGATCTACGTGACATGGAAGTGGACCCGAGGAGGCGATATGTTGTGATCGTGGGCGACTTCAATTACGGCGAGCATGCTGAGGTGGAGGACCCTCTGGTCCCTGGAGGCGGGCGCAGGGCCGCCTCGCACCCCCGCGGCCGCGCATGGCCTCACTCACTCAGTGCTGCGACGGAGATGGTCCCTCACAAGCCGACGCACTGGCACCCAGGCAGACAGATCGCCACCTCGATCGACAAGATATGGGTTGGTTCTCCACGTTGGTTACTCACGCAGACCTTTCAGCATGGGCAGGTACATGGGGAGCCCCACGAGATACACCTCGACGGGCTTCCGGACCACGCGATGTTCTCGGTAGCATGGACTCCTCGCCCACCGAGAAAGAGACCTACCACGGGCGTCATCAACCCTGTCCCGTCCTTCGTCTCGGAGAATCCGCTGTTCGGCGAGATGATCGGGATGTACGAGAACGCGGTCCCCCTGGATGGTCTCTCTCCTCCCGATCGGGCGCACTACCACACGAAGATCCTGCAGACGGCAGCGGCCGCCACCCGTGATGCCATTCTTCGTGGTGAGCCTGGTCTGCGGTCGCCGATGGCGCTGATCTGGAGACAACTTGGTCGAGCGATATCGCGTCAGGACACTAGGATGGCGGAGACCCTCCTGCGACAGCATGCATGGACAAGCCAGATGATCGAGCTTCGCCATCACCCAGGTCATGGCAGAGACCAGGCGGCGCTCCTCGACCCTCAGGGATTCTTTCGTCGTTACCGCCTGGCGCAACACCGTGAGATGCAAGAACGACTCCGCCAGCATCAACATGACATTAGACGGGGAACGGCTCGAGTTCAACAAGGCAGCGATGGTCAGGCAGCAGGGGGCCCTACGTCGACGCGCGGCCATGTGGGCGCCGTCGTCGGCCCGACGTTTCCTGGGGGGCATCGAGCTGGACGATGGCACGGTTGCGCGATCGGAGCAGGACATCCAGAGGGCGCTCGCGCATTACTGGCGAGGCGTCTTCGGCGACGACGTGGTCAAACGGAAGCAGCCTGC